CATATCTGGACAGAAGATGGGGGAGATGAAGGAAGAATGAGATCTTGATTCTTGAAGATGAAAGAGGACTGAGGAAGAGTGAGATTTTGATGATGAAGGAGGAGAGAGAAATTTGATGATGAAGATGAATGTTGAGATATTTGATTTTTTTTTTTTGAGGTCAAATTTTTTTTTTCGGAAATTTCACCAAATGCCCCTGAGTTATTTTTTTAATTTATTCACGAAATACCCATAACAATTTTCAAATTCACCATATACCCTTGAATTTAACAAAAATGTCACCAAACGCCCTTAATGACTAACGACAGTTAAGTCTGTTTGTCATTAGGGTTAATTATGCCATGTGGAAGTGTGTTATTGGTTATTATTGAAATTTATTAAATAATAATTATAAAAAAAGTAAAAAAAAATTAATAAATAATAAAACACCAGTTTTCAACAAAAAAAAAAAAAAAAAAAAAAAAACCACCTCTAACCCCTACCACCATCAGCCACCTTAACCTAGCCACCTCCTTACATCACGCAACCTGAGCCCCTTCGCCGGCAACCCAAGTCCCCTCCCCACGTCGCCCCGCCCACCTTACCTAAAAATCGACACCTTGAAACGACCCTAAAACCCCAAGATCAAAACCCTAAAAATCAAAATCAAGGGTTTCGATTTTGGGGTTCTTTTTTTTACTTTGAGGTTCAGCGTTGTGGTTCAGGGGGTGGAGACGGCAAGGGGAGGGGCGGGTTGGGTTCTCCGGTGCGCGATGGTAGTTTGGACGCCGGTGGTGAGGAGGGGAAGGGTTTTCGAGGGAGAGAGAAAGTGGTTTTAGGATACGCAGATTGTTGGGAGTCCGGTTCGGGATGGCGTCGGCGCTGGTTCAGGCGAAATCCGCACCCACCATCCTCGGCACCTTAATTAAACCCAAAAATCTAAATCCCCAAATCGAAACCCTAGATTTCGATTTTGGGGTTTTCGATTTTGAGGTTTTGGCGTGGTGGTTCAGGGAGGGGGAGGGGCGATTTCGGTTCACCGACGCAGGGAGGGGTTCTTGGACGCCAGCGGTCACGCCGGCACCGGCGCGGGGGTGGATGTCGTTGGTCGGCTGCCAGGAGGAAGGAAGGTGGCTGGGTTTTTTTTTATTTTTAAGTTATTAGTTTTTTTATTATTAATTATAATTATCTTATATTAATTAATAAAATTTAAAAATTAAAAGAAAACCAATCCTAGCATGCTACATGGCATATTTAGTCTTAATGATTAACGGAGGTTAACGCCGTTAGTCATTATGGCGTTTTGTGACATTTTTTTGTTAAACTCAAGGGTATATGGTGAATTTAAAATTTTTTATGGGTATTTCGTGAATAAAAAAAAAACTCAAGGGCATTTGGTGAAATTTCCGTTTTTTTTTTTTTTTTTTTTTTTTTTTTTGTAAGATTAGACGAGTTAAGTTGGTTATAATAGAGTATGGTTAGTGAAATGATTAAGGGAGTAAGTTGGTTAAGTGAGGGCATTTTGTTCATTTCTTACAAAAAAACTTTCTAAAAGAGGAAAAAAATCGTTTGTTGCACATAATAGGTAACACCCGTTTATGGCAAATGTTGCAAATAACTGTTAACGGAGGAAGTAATTCATATAATTAAATTTATTTTATTTAATTCCAGTTAATTTTCATAATTTTAACATACTTATGAAAGATGTTAGATTCGTCACTGGTCACATATTGGAGCTCTTGGCTTTAACTTGAGTGTTTTTATCTATTTTTCTTTGGTATATTTCTTAATGTTAGGTTTGATTATTATTACTTGAATTTATTTATTTTGTATTTTTTTCATGATTAAATGATCTTGATCTTTAAGTTTATTTTCGGGAGTTGTCTACCTTTATTCAAGAAATCTTTGTGCACCATTTCTCGCGGTGCACAGTGTTTACAATTCAGCGATTTTGTATACTTTTTGATAATTATTTCATAGATTTTTTTTAAAATATCTTTATTTCTATTATTTTTTTAATAGTAATGTAATGCTTTTTTTTTTTGTTGCAGTTGGAATTAAAATGAATGTGCCCAAATGGTTTTAATAAGCAGGTTAGTTGCATTTTTTTAATAAGCTGGTAAACTATTTTTTGGTTATTATTCGAAGTAGTAGCTTAAGGAAATAATATTTTTAGTAGTTGTTTTTTTGGAAAAAAACTGGTAAAACTAAGAACATTTTCTATGAAGAAGTTTAAAAACTAAGCACAACTTCCTCTCTGCAATTTAACTTTAAATGGTTTAGAAAGATAAATTAAAGGTTAATTTGCCGGACTAAATTAGATTTTTCAGTTATCATTAACACTCAAAAAATAAGTTATACATATGGTTGTTTAAATTTCTTCAACATGTATTGCTGCGTAAATTGAATCTCATGTTTGATTATTATTACTTCAATTTATTTTTGTTACATTTTTTTCCATGATTAAATGATTTTGATCTTTAAGTTTGTTTTTGAGAGTTGTCTACCTTTATTCAAGGAATCTCTGTGCACCAATTCTGGTGCACAGTGTTTACAATTTTGTATAATTTCTGGTAATTATTTCATAGATTTTCTAATTTTCTTTATTTCTAGTATTTTTTTAATAGTAATTTAATTTTTTTTTTTCTGTTTGCAGTTGGAATTCAAATGAGTATGCCCAAATAGTTTTGATGAGCAGGTTAGTTATGTTTTTTTAATAAGTTGTTACACTATTTTTTGTTTATTACTCGAATTAGTAGCTTAAGGAAATAACAATTTTAGTAGTTGTATTTTATGGGAAAAGCCAGTAAAACAAAGTACTTTTTTTGTGAGGAAGTCCAAAAATAAGAATGCTGATGGTTGTAGTTTTTCTTCTAAGCTACCAAAGCTACTACCATCATTGAACACTGGTATAATGTAGTTTTTTTCTTTCAATTTAATTTCAGCTCTTTGGTGTTTGTGGGTTTTTTTTTTTCCTTTTCCTTTTCCTGAGTGTTTGTGTTGCTAATGTGGGTGATTTTCTTTTACATTTTAGTGGGTATGATTGTTGAATGTATGATGTTTTACTTCTTTCTAATATTGTTGATAATGTTATTTTTAGGAAAAATTGACAAAAACAATCCCAACTTTCCCTCATTCGCTCAAAATAATCCCAACTTTTGATTATTTTTTAATAATCCGAACTTTAATAGCAATTTGCTTCCGATGGTCCCAACCGGTAATTTAACTTATTATAACAGGTCAAATAACACATGTCGGCATGTAATTGGTTTAAAAATTAAAAAAATTCCAAAAATAATTAAATTAAAAAAAAAACCACCACCTCATCCTCCACCAGCCCAACCACCCTATCCGATGCTCTCCGCCCCTGCCCACCTACCGCGTTCAGACCCCTTCCCTTTAGCCGATGTCGGCGTCAAGGCCCGCCCCTACCCTTGTGCCGCCCTCTAAACCACCATTACCACAATCCCGAAACCCCTCTCCCTCTCCCTCCCCCGCAAACCCCCATCGTAAAAGCCCTCAACTGATCGTAAAATCAGCTACAATCATCCGAAAGAAGAGCAAGAAATATCTAGGATTTATACTTGAATTGCAAAAGAAGCCGCCATTGATGGATGAAGCTCGAGGTATGAAAGAATCCCCATTGATGGATGAAGCTCGAGGTATGAAAATCGAGCTATTTGTTAATATCGACATCTCGCCATTGTTGGTTATGGTGGTTTAGGGGGCGACGCAAGGGTACCGCGAGGGCAGCGCGGCATCACCGATGCGAGGGAAGGGGGTCTGGGCGATGAGGGCTGGGCAGGGAAGGTGGCTGACTGGGGTAGAGGCTGGCAGGGAAGGTGGATGGTAGTGGTGGGTTTATTTCTTTAATTTTTTTTTGAAACCATTATTAACTTGATTAATTTTATTAATTAATAGGAAAATTTGCAAATTGCGGCCATTTAAAGTTCGTATTTTGCAAATTGCAGCCATTTAAATGTTTTCTTGCAAATTGCAGCCCAAAAGTTCGTATAAATTGTAAATTGCAGCCCGATTCAACTTTTTCATCGGTTTACATATTGAAAAATCTTCGGTTAAGGTTTTAGGGGTCATTTTAGTCTTTAGGGGCCCGAATTGAGCTCGGAATTAGCAAAAAAATAACGTAAGTATCTCGTTTTGCGTAACAAAAATGTATCGATTTGTGGGAAACTGTAAATATGAGACACTTACGTTATTTTTTTTGTTAATTCCGAGCTCAATTTGGGCCCCTAAGACCTAAAATGACCCCTAAAACCTTAACCGAAGATTTTTCAACATGTAAACCGATGAAAAAATTGAATCAGGCTGCAATTTATAATTTATACGAACTTTTGGGCTGCAATTTGCAAAAAAAATTTAAATGGCTGCAATTTGCAAAATACGAACTTTAAATGGCTGCAATTTGCAAATTTTCCTAATTAATAACTAATAGTTAAGTGTAAATTAGTACTTTTTTTTACTGTAAATTATTATTTTTTTTTAAAAAAATTACCTTTTCAACCAGTTACTGGTCACTTAGGACCATTGAGAATAAATTCACACTAAAGTTCGGATTATTAAAAAATAATCCAAAGTTGGGATTATTTTAGGCGAATGAGGAAAAATTGGGATTATTCTAGTCAATTTTTCCTTATTTTTATTCTTACTATTTTTTGTTGTTGAATATAAATACTTGTTTTGCTTCTAATCCCTTGATGTCTCTTTATCTTAGTTTTTCATAACAAGGAAAATTGTTGGTTGTGCGATTAAATGGCTTTACTTGATCTGTTCGAATAGTGATAGTATTAGAATTTTGAGAAACTTTTTCTATTCAAACTTTTGGAGGCATTACTTTGTCTTCTTTATTTGGTGTTTCTGTCTAAGTGGGTACTATCACTATTGATGCAATGAGATTCATAACTTACCTTGTTTTATCTTCCTACACCACAGATTATTTTTGTCGGAAATTGGCATAAATAAATGTAAATATCAACTAACTTGCTATATTAGAGCATCTATTGCTCAATACTATGGATTTTAACTTCAAAAGTCATTCTAATAAACATGATTCTGGTGTACGATGTTATTATGTGTCTAGGAAATTCCTCTCTCTTCAAAAAGGAAAAAAAAAAATTGTACCATGGCATATAAACAAGGAAAAAAAAGTAATTGGGGAGAACTATCGTAATCAACGTTGTAGAAACATGTGCTGAATTTTTTTCTTGTCACGAAGAGAAGCTTTCTCGCAGTCGAAATTTGTGCAACCTCCTCAGCCTCCTTAGCAAACCCCCTCCTTGGTGAAGCCTTCAAAAACATGTCCCACCCCTATTTATTACTTGTTTCCTCTTTTGGCATGTCAACATAGTCCTTCTCTGAGAGTCCCATGACTCTATAAGCAAAGCAAAAGTAAGGAAGACGCTCATACTATATTTCACCTTCACTTTGTTACCACTCTTTTCTTTCATCCATTGATAACGTCGAAGGGGTTTATGAACATCAATCATCATTTGAACTCGACGATAACGGTTAAGCCCTAGTAAGTCCTCCTCCAATTCCATCAGTTCTCCAAGATTGACAGTTAGGGTTTTTAAATCATCATTTGATCTGCAATTAAAAGGCAAATTGCAGACCCTATTCCAGAATTGAAAAGCATATAAATTTGGTGCGATAACCCTACTTACAATGTTATTCGAAGGTGCCCATACCTTTATCATTGTTCGCTTGAAAGCCTCCACGTTATATGGTCCGCTCGACAATAGCTTCCCCACCAACAATAACGTTTCACATTAGTACCTCCTAAGTCCACTAGATTGTTCTCATCATCTTTTAGGCAAATAGATGAGCACTTAATTGCTAGGTCGTCGACCATGGTCGAAGATTAGTCGTCAATTCACGAAGCTATCGCTTTTCTTTCAAAGGAGATAACCCTTTCTTTTGAGGGAGTTTTTTCTACATATATTTGACTAATTAAGTAATTCTTATTAACTCCTTCCAAATATATATATATATATATATATATATATATATATCCAAATTTTTCTTAATGTACAAATTACAAAAATGATTTTATATAAACCGTCTATTGAACAAATTCTAACTAGTAAATGTACTTAGCGATAAAAAATTATGTCTTATACAATGGTCTGAATTGAATTTTTATTCTAATCTAATTTGATTTTTGTTTTGATTCTAAAGTAAATAAAAATAAGGCGAATTAACGGAACGAGGAAACTCGATAAGACATCTCTTTTGGCTTTCATCGGTACCTAACATCGGGTGATCATCTCCCAGTTTCCAGATCTGAAGGATTCCCGGCGAGATCTGATTTCCTAATAAGAGTAGAAGAAATGACGGCTGTTTCTGTTCATAAGTTTGCTCAGTGTATCACTTGTCATGCCTGGAGTCCTGACCATTCAAGTAGTTTCTCTCTTCATACATTTCTTTTGGATTTTGTTACGTTTTCATTTCAATGTTATTGGTTTTGGGTGAATTTGATCTTAATTTTGCCTGCATTGGTTGTGGATCAAACTATTCTTAATTGGGTTTTTATGATTTTTCATATTCACAAGTGTTAGCAAATTGGGCGTTAAATTTGATTTCATTTCATTTATTTTGATGTGCCCATTTTGTTTATTGGTAATGTAATTGAGTAATTAAACAAAAGATCATATTTTTTTGGTGGGGATAAATGAAAATTCTGCAATGTATTTTTAAATTAAAGAGGAGATCAGTGAATTAAAAGGTTTGATAAATAAATTATCATTTCATGAAATATAATTTAAATTTTGAAGGTATCAGCTTTATAAGCAATTTGGCACCCAGAATCCCAGATGAAATTTGTCCTGAAACCCTTTTAATAAGAGTGAAACAAATGTAATTCTTGGAGAATTTCTGGCATTTGTTCATGGGTTTGATCAAATGCTGATTTGGTTTGTGTTGAAATCTTAGTCCTGTGAGCTATAGCAAGTGTATTATCATCTTTTGGAGGGTAGATTCTGGCTTTTGTGTAAAGTGTTGTTTTAACTTGAAGCCTTATTTACTGTTAAACTATACCTGTTCAATTGCTGACTATGCTTGCTTCGGGGATCAGATTTAGGTGTAGGTGGTGTTTTTCTCTATTGTCTAGCCTATTGACTGGGCTGAGTAGAATTACTCAACACGAGTAGGAGCTAGTGACCTACACAAGGAACTGATTTGCAGACTGTTTAAGAGAGAGCTAAAACATTGGCTGTCACAGAAGAGGGAATTGTTACATTTGTTCTACTTTTTGGGTTTATGACCTTTATGTCCTCTCTTGGGAATGACCCATTGACCCTTTATACTAGAACAGCTAAACTCTTGGTGACAATTGTATTAAGCTTTATGAAAATTTAGGACTATGATTCTAGTAACTTGCTTCAATACTGTAACACTTGTGTTTTCTGTGAGTGCTTCATCAACTGTCCAGTCAACTATTCCATCTATGACACCAACATGAAACACCCCTGAATTCTGTGTCATTTGAGCTTACAAAAAAAGAAGGTTTTTGGTAAGGTGTGTTGTTCTTGCTTCTTCTTTATGTCCCAACTGGTAGTCGAGAGTAGTGGTGATTCCACTGAGAAGGGCTAGCTTATTTTACTTTTAAAGCAGCTTGTCAATTTCCACTACCATAGTGATAATGGTTCTCTGCGATTTTCCTTAAATGTATTCCTGGCTAGGCAATTGATCATTTGTTTTTTTTTTTTTTTTTTTTTTTTTTTTTTTTTTTTTTTTTTTTTGTTATTATGTGGATAAAATATCTTAGTGCTTGTTTGGTTGACGTATGAATACATGATTAGTTGAGTACCCTAGGGAAAAAATATATGTTGACGTATGAATACATGATTAGTCGAGTACCCTAGGAAAAAAATATAGGAAAAAATATAAGCAATTACGTAGGAAGTGGAACTTTTGAGGAGTGTTACTTCATGTGTCAACTAAATCGAGGAAGTTGCTGGCTGATCTCCCTCTAGGTAAGTGGAACTACATTGTGAAATAGAACTTTATATGAAGGTTAAACTTCCTATATGTAATTAAACAGCAACTTAATGTAAAGCCTACATTTGAGCAGCTGTTTTTCCAAATGTCCTTTGTTAGTCTAGGTGAGCCACACTAATTGCAAGGGTTAGGGTTTAGGTTGGAATTTTCATACAACCTTGTAATTTTATGACTTTTGATAACCATTAGTCAATCAAGTGCTATTATTTGCTTTATAGTTTACCATCTGTATTATATCCAATTCATTGTTTGTTTGCCAGCTTTTAAATAAAGACTAGTGTGTAGCCCGGGCGATGCGCCGGGTTGCTAGTTTGTACTTGTTTTGTTTGCTAATCAAGTTCGATTGTTTCGATAGTAAGTGTTGTTGGTTTCAAGTTTAAGTCTTGCTATAAACATTTTTTAGCTGTCAAACTCAATCATTACATACTAGAAACAAATAATATAATTAGACACAAATTAACTTGCCTAAGTTAAGTAAAATTTTGTTGGATAAATAAACATAATCAGTAAATGGCTAAGATGGTAAGACTTGTAACTAATGACTCAATTCTTGTTATAAGCATTTTTTAGATGCAACCTAATACATGTTGTGAAGGTGACATGTAATGTTTATAGTGACTTGTGGCACATATTGCTGACATGTCGAGCTTAAAAAAGGTGAAACGTGGAACATATTCTGCTTTAGGAACGCTTTTTAAAAGTATAGAAGTATAGATATAGATGTTTGCTGTGATGCACGAGAGCAATTGTGTAGTAGGTCCATATAAACACTGTCATTTAGCTCATAGTCATTGCTGGGAGGGGAGGGGGGCTCTAGACAAAAGTTGCAATAGTTGCATGCCTAAATGGCTTCTCCTGAGATATTTGTATTGTTAAGAACTTTGTTAGGGAAAGCTGAAACACTGAAGATTTATACTCACTCAATTCACAGAAAGCTGATAAATGCACTTTATAATCCCTTGGATCCAAGAAATATCTACTTTTTAAATGGTTTATCGCAGAATCTTTTACTCTTATAGTGCAAGTGACCTTCACATTTCCATGTCCCCAGACTGAGAACTTGGCACCTTTTATAGGGATATAGAGGATACTGCTGAATAGGCTTGTGCTGTATTAATAGTTCCATTGGTCCACAATCGTGTTATATACAAGCTCTATTATGTTGCTGCCTCTTATAATTCCATTGTTTTTTTTTTATACAACCAAGTAAGAGCCAAACTTGTTTTTTTTTTTTTTTCCTCCTAGTGATTGCTGTATGCCCAAATACTGAAGAAGTCCACATATATCAATCATCGGCCGACAAATGGGAAAAAATACATGTCCTTCAAAAGGTATGATGATGTAGGGCTTTTTTTTCCCTATGGAATTGATATTCTCATTTTATGTTTAGTTCTGTACTTCTGTCATGTCCTTCAAAAGGTATGATGATGTAGGGTTCCTTTTTTTCTTTTGTTTTTTTTCCCGGTGGAATTGATATTGATATTCTCATTTTATGTTTAGTTCTGTGACTTCTGTCTTGCAGAATTAATAGGTTAATTTTGGAACAAATTTTCCACTTGTTGATTTAGTATTTGATGAGGGACATGGAGTGCCATATAAAACTGTTGCAAATACATGTTTTGGTGTTGATTTTATTAGGACTTCAAGTTTTCTAAGTTTTGATGGAACTTATTTGTCTATGTTTTTGTTCCTTTTTTTCAAAAAAAAAAAAAAAAAAAAAAAAAAAAAAAAAAAAAAAAAAAAAACAAAATCATTGTGCGCTGATTCTTCTTTAAAATCTTTACTGAACTAATGAAGAATCATCTAGAAGTCTAGAACTATCACTGTATGCAAATTTTCTGTTGGATGTAGTGGATGGCAATTAATTTTAAAAGTAAAGATGTCCTTCGATGGTGAAATTAAATATGAATAAATGAAATGAGTTTTGATGTTCACAATTGGCTCATAATAATTTCTGAATTGGTTACTCGGCAGTGTTTAGCTGACTTAATTTTGAAATTGTCATGTTTTCTTTTGTTGTAGCATGATCAAGTTGTATGCGGTATAGACTGGAGCTCAAACATGAACAAAATCGTGACTGTTTCTCATGATCGAAATTCGTGAGTTATTTTTGGTCTTGAATGTGGTTTTCACATTCTAATGGAGTTTTCTAAGTGCTTTGATGGCCAAACTAGATTTGCCCTTATGGTTGAGATGAATTCTTTTTGTTTGACATTTTTTTACTTTAATTGCTCTTTATTTTCAGGTATGTTTGGCACCATGAAGGAGGTGAATGGGTTCCAACACTAGTTATTCTAAGACTAAACCGTGCTGCCCTATGTGTGCAATGGAGTCCGAAAGGTATCTTAATTTATCACCTTTTTCCTTTGGTAGTTTAGGGTTTAACCATATTTGAATTGGGCTCAATATTAAGGAATCTAAATAAAACTACTAATAAAAAATTGGCATCTTAATCATACCAATGTAGTCTCTTTTTGAATCTTTAGTTAAGGCTTAAGGGTATTATCAAGGATTCAAGGGTATGGGAAAGTTCTGAAGTTTAGATTACCAAATTTAAAAAATGGCCTTTTTTTTTGTAGGGGGTTGGGAGGGGGGTTAACTCAAGAAAGTAATGTAACTATAATTCGTGTATGCATGTTATTAATTCTTGTTTCACTATCCGTGATCATTAACCAAGATAGTATTCTTTGTGGATGATCACATGTCATTAATTTTTGGTTTATGCATTTTATCCTTTTGAAAATATGGCCATGATTTTGTTTTTACAGTTGTTGCAATTAGTGGTTATTGTATTTCATCCATATGACATTATACATGTTTCCTTGAGTGTGCATGCCTTAAGTCTATGCAAACAAATCTATAGTTTTCATTAAGCAAGTAGTATTTTTGGCTTTCAATCCCTTCTTAGATCCTATCTATGTCCTCTGGCATAACCTAAGTATCTTTCATGTCTCAAACATATCAACTTTTCCAATCATTACTTTTAACTATAATTTTTAACCTAGGCAAGTAAAAATAAGGTGAAGAGGAACACACTTTAGCTAGGCTTTGTGTTTGATTTTATCAAATTTCTATATTACTTTGGACAGATATGAAATATGTCCTCAATGAATAGACAAGTTTTTTATTTATTTATTCGACTACCTTTGATCATATATTTTTGCATGTGGACTTTAATGGCCTTTTCCATGTATCTCCGTTTATGGTATCTTTATCTCATGGATTATCCCTATAGGAGACGCACATTCTTAAAGAGGACATCCCAAACTTGTATAAATTTACATACTCTTGTTTCAGAAAACAAGTTTGCTGTTGGTAGTGGAGCTAAGACAGTTTGCATATGCTACTACGAGCAAGAAAACAACTGGTAAGTAAACGGCATGTAGCGATCCACTAGGACCTATTTTTGCTTTCTTATTCATTTGTGGCTATGATGAGCCCAGTTTTCCTGTGGGGTTTTCTTATCTCTGAATTTCTCGCACCGATGTGTTTTATATAAATACTTGCTGACAGTTTTTGTTTGCCTTAGTTGGAGTTGAAAATATTAAGGTCTAAACAATTTTTATAGGCTGTTGATGGCTTTAATTATCAGTGGATATGGATTTTTGTAGTGTTCCATGTGTGGCAAGGAATGGAAATGAACTTGTCACAAAAAAAAAAAAAAAAAAGGGGGGGGGGGGGGGGAAGGAAATGAAACAATTTAGAAATTTGAGATGGTAAATTACAAATAAGTTAGTGATCTCACCTGTGATTATAACAGCTTAGAAATGTTAGGTAACTGTAATCAATAAGTCTTAATTTTGCTATATACAAATTTTCCTATGTAAATTCCAATAAATTATCATATTCTGCTTAGCTATGTATGGTGATTGGTGAATCTCAAATCTTAATGCTCAATTAGCAGTTGAGATTTGGGAAGATGGATTTATATGGTATACCTCTCTGTGACATCACCTGGAAGCAGGATAGTAGAAGTTAGATAGAGAAAGAACCAGCATGCATATCTTGAATTTTGAACTCTTTTACATTTGAAATTACTTGGTTGTCAAATAAGACGGTTTGATATGCTCCTTTTTTTGAATTCTACTGCTTCAAATGTTTACATTCTGAAATGGTGCAGAAATTGAGTGACAGTAAATTAAGCATTTGTGGAAAAAAAATTCTACACTATTGCCCTTGGGGTGCGGAAGGGTAGTAGGACTTGATCATGTATCTTAGTAGATTTTTTGCATGCCAAACATAAAAAATTGGTTAATTTTCCAATTTTTACTTTTGAAAGGTGGTTACCAATTCTATTATGTTATTTCTATTTGGATTGTTTGTGTTGACAAGGCAAAGAAAAGCATGTATATTTGTTCTATTTGTTACATTCAAGTAGCTTGATCTTTTGTATGTTTGGCTGCCATGGCTGGATCCATCAATGATAAGTGCTGTCTTATATACTGCTCAGGTGGGTCAGTAAACTTATAAGGAAAAAGCACAACTCTTCTGTGACAAGTGTTGCCTGGCATCCCAATAATGTGAGGTTTTTTTTTTTTTTCGATCCTCTTTATGCTTTATTATATGTTAGTGGCTGCTATCACCTTTCTTATTGCAAATTGCTGAAATTCTACTGCTGTAATTTCTGGGTTTCCCTGTTATGTTCTCGTTAGTTACCTACTTTACCTCTGCATGACATGTGTAATCAAGTGCTATGGTTATCTTATTTCTATATTTTGTGTTGCACTTATTGGCAAGAGTAATAAAAAACAGAGCTGGCTACAAATCTTCAGTAATTTTCCAATTTAATATCCTGTGGACTGAGGCTACAGCCAGATTTATCTTTATAACCACTACTCTCTATATTCAGCATCTTGTCTGCAACATATTCTTGTTCTGTTCAGTTTGTGTGCTAGTTAGCCTAGATCTTTATAAATATTTCATAATTAGAAGAGCTGCAAATTTTCAAAGCTAATATAGGTTCTACATTGAGTACTGCCTTCTCTGTGACTTGATGATGGAGATATGTAGTAACAAGGAAGATATCGGTGTTCTTGTACCAAAATGGGAGAGGATATTTAAAGGAAGAAGAGAGCTAATGGAATTAGGGGACTCTACAGGAAGAAGAAAATGGGACAGTTTAGAGGAAGAAAATAGAGAATAGAAGATCCTTAAAAAGGGGGAAATTTCTATGGTATTACCTTAGAAATAAGGCTTTTATTTTATTTTTTTTAAAAGTTTGAAATAGAGAATGATGACAAAGGTCATTGTAGCATTAGAGTAATTAGACTCATTTTACTACTCTGAAGTAAAAATACTATCACAATAAGTTTATTGAGATCCCCCGGAGACACCCATCCCCTAAGCTGTGAAATAAAAGAAATCTTCTGAGCTTTTTAAAACTGGTTACCTTTGTGTATATGTATATGTATATGTATCATCATTTTCCAACTATTGGAATTGAAGTAGTTTGTTACATCTGACAAGTCATTTCCTATTTGCTAATTTTATAATAGATTCTTTTGGCAACAACGTCAACAGATGGAAAATGCAGAATATTTTCCACTTTTATCAAGGGTGTTGATACAAGGTATTACCATGCTTATTGACTTAATAAAAATATCTACCTGTACCTTTCTTCATTTCTTGTTGTATTGTTTTCAGGAATTCTGAAGCTGGCTCTTCATCTGATACAAAATTTGGAGAGGTCCTTGATCTATTCTTCTATTTTTTTTTTTTTTATTAATTTTTTCCCCTAATTGTGTTCTCTGTCATTATTTAATTCTGTTGCTTTTGCAATTAAAATATATTTCTTGACCATGGATTCTGACACTGTTCAATACTGGAGTAGAATACTGAAATATGGACTAATTTGAGATGATATAGTGATGTGAAGAGTAGTCTCTGAGTTAAACTGACATAAGCAGACAGATTTAGTGATGCTGAACTTAAGGGAAAGATGTTTTTAAAATAACATTAAATTGGAATTACAGAAGATTGAAGATAAATGTCAAGTATTCAATGACTTGACGCTCTCTCAAAGCTAACTAATAAAGCTAAAATAACAACTCAATATTTTCCATGGATTTTTCTTTCCTACTCTCATTGAGTAAATCTGATTCCTCCCCCTCTAACTAACCTGCTATCTTTCTTCTCAAGATACTACGAATAAAATTATGTAGGCATACCTATAATTTTCTTCCCATAGACTGGTTATTACAGAATTTTCTTTATTGTTATACACCTTAATCGTGAGGCAAAGGCCTCAACACCCTGAACTGTTGCTCGGGTGCACCCAGCACCCCAAACTTCGACTAGTAGTTGGCTCACCATCAACTATGAACTGGGGTGCAACGCGTGCCATTAATGGGTTTCCAAATTAATGACACACCAGCAACTTTCCAAATAGCAGTATAGAGACATTATTTCCCAATTTCCACGTTATTTGTGAAATATGACCAGTCTCATAGCATGGTTCAAAATGCGGTTTCGGTCGCGTTGATTTGGTAATGGAATTGATGTGTTTATCGTGGATCTTATCGTGATTGTCGCGTAAGAATTTAAAATTATATTTATGTTTTAAACTATGTATTTTACAATGATTTTTCTCATAAATTTTAAAAATCTTATATTCTTATACAAATAGCTGTATTTCCCGTTTTAGTACTCTGTATTTCTGCTAGTGCTGACAACAGGTATTTCCATATCACTCCTCTTTTTGCAGCAAATTCTACAGCTTGATCTTTCATATTCATGGGCATTTGGTGTAAAGTGGTCTCCTAGTGGCAACACTCTAGCTTATGTTGGTAAGAATTTTTTTAGTAATCACATGTTATTCTAGAAACTCATTTTTCTTAACAAGGTCTTTCATTTTTATGTGGATCTTCAGGTCATAACTCAATGATATACTTTGTTGATGATGTTGGTCCGTCACCTTTGGCACAAAGTGTCGCATTCCGCGATTTGCCTCTCCGTGATGTGGGTCAGCATCCTCTCTCATCAACTTCACTAGAAAACTGCTGCTTCATTACTTTTAACTTCAAACTCATATCTGATTTTATGTGCATTTATCTTGCAGGTCTATTTTGTGTCTGAAAAGATGGTCATAGGTGTGGGATTTGACTGCAATCCTATGGTTTTTGCTGCAGATGAAAGTGGGTTGTGGTAATAATAACTTGCTTGTTTTGCTGGTCTGACAAATTGAATCGATGTGTTATGTTTATGCCTTAATCTAGAGTTTACAATTGAGGTCATGTAATGGATTGCTGTTATAATAATCATACTCTACATAATTTTGTTAGAAGTAGATTTTGTTGCTGGCCTTTCAGTTCCTGCTTCACGAGTGGATTGTAAAATTTAATCTGTATTTTAATATACAAGTGCACATCTTTTTCTTTCTCTTTACATAGATGAACATTTTACTTTTCTCTCTTGCAGGAGCTTTATTAGATTTCTTGGTCAAAAGCAGACAACTCCAACGAATGCAAGGGCTGGTTCTCAGGTACATTCTAGTGCCTATAGTTTTTGGCATGCTAAGATATTTCACAATTTTTCTGTGACTGGGTTTGTCTTTGATACCCACATTGTCTACTTAGAGCACTTAGAAGGGTAGGAGTTGGGTCTATATTTAAGATTTTTTTCCGTTTTAGGTCTTTACTTATAAGAAGCTTTCATTTCTGTTATGGTATTACTGCATAGCAAGTTAATGTGCACAGCTTGTACTTTAGACAATCAAATCCAGTTATTTGCTAGAAAGATTGCTTTATAGGGTGGGATTTTAAGTTTGGATGGCTTGTTTGGTTACTGACAATTAATATTGGTAAAGAAAATGGATGTGTACTGACAATACATGTAAAATCTTTGTGTCTGTGGTAATGCAATTTCATCCCCAAACTTGAATTGTTTTCATAATTGCCCATTACCACCCAATACAAATGGTAATGGATAGTAATGAAAATTTGTGAGATATTTTGAGGTGAAATAGCAATACCATGGGAATAGTAATGGATGTTATTTTACAAATTTATATATACAAATTCATTTCCATATCATAATTTATCACGATTTCCAAAGGTTTTATGAGCAGTTATTGTTACAATTTTATACAGCTCAAATTGCTGATGATAGCTTCAAGTTTAATGCAAAAATATTACTGTTTCAGATTTCAGGAGCATTTGGAAAACTATATGGTCATTCAAAGTACAACAATGTCGATAATGGCAATGATTCTTACTCGAGTGGATGTGCTCATGATAACTGCATTACGTATGGCCTTACCTACCAATTAGATTATTCTTTTTTTTTTTTATTTATAGACTAATCTTTTGCTCGAAGTTATACATATAGGCATATAGCTAATATGGTTGACTTGAATTCAGCTGCATTGTGCCATTGAAAAAGGGAAGAGACTCAAAAGTGACGCGCTTCAGTACTTCAGGTACACAAAGCTTGTTATCTTAAGTTGGTTAATTGTTGTTGAAAGTTTCGAGGTAGATAAGGCTGCTAATGCTTTTTTTTTTACTTGCATCTAATTCTAGGACTTGATGGTAAGGTGGTTATTTGGGATTTGGAAGGCCAAGACCTGGCAGACTATTACTGAAACAGACAGAAGATTTTGGGTCTTGTGAGGACGCTAATGAGTTTGGAGCTTATAGAACTATTATCTGTAAATCAGATCTTTTCTCAGGTAAAGAAGCTGATTTCCCAGCTGCTGCATCCAGTGACAGGAACAGAATATCTCTGTAATTGATGCAGATTTCGGGTATATGAGAAGTACGGAGTAGATATAGTTATACTGTTTGAAAGTATATTTGTAGGTCCAAAAGAAAAACATTCTTGTTTTGATGATGCTGTTACTTTTCCTTCATATGAAATACATTCTCGGTGTTGTTGTTACTTATTATCCTTCATATAAAAATATTTTATGTCAAAATTAGTAAAAGGCGTGTTATTGCTGCTGTAGTGCAATAAAATCCCTATAGCTGTAGTTGTTTAGAAGCGTTTTAGGGATATAAACATTGTGACCAAGACAATCTGCTGTTTTCGCTGTTTGGTAAGAGCGGCTTCAGTTAGTGGAAAGCCTTCAAACTAGCAATTTGGAATCGTAGAGTTGAGCAGCATTTGGAGAGGTTGGCTGATTGGAATTGCAATTGACCTTTTTACCCCTTCTCCATACAACCATTGCAAAGAAAGTTGCTCTGTGCTCCACTGCTCCATATTGCATACTTAAATTTGTTGTCAAATAATACTCTGAATTAAATTTTGTTTTAAAAATGACACCTTAATGAAATAATGACATATTTCGATCAAAAATGAAGTTTTTAGGAATTGATTTTCATCTTTCCACCAAGTTTGGTCACAATGGAGCTTGTGAGAGCCACCTAATGTATAGATAAATCAAATCATTTCTAGTTTTCTACTTTAATTCTACCCCCCCCCCCCCTCATTCAATGGAGGGTATGGAGGGAAAATGAAAGTCAAACATTGAGAAATTGATTTTTTTGGTAGGGATTCGTCATTAAGGTGTATCAAACTATCAATTATATGAACAAGAAAAAAAGAGGGGACAATCATGGGGAAAAAAACACCCATGAGTCAATTAGGTGTGCCTAGGAGTGTTAACGAGCCAAGCCTACTCGTGAAATATTCGATGCTCGGATCGGTCAAAGCTCGGCTCGAGAGGGCTCGACTCGAGTCTGAGTTCGGCTCGATATCTTAACAAGCCAAGCCTAAGCCACCCATGGCTCGGCTCAAAAGCTTATGAACAAGCTCGAATATTTTTTTATACATAAATAATTTTTTATAAGTTTAGCTAAAATACACACCGTGTGCCAAACCAAAAAATATGGATCACAATGGTGGGCTTTTGTAAAGATGCCCATGGAAAATATGAAAATGCACTGTGAATGTCAATTGGTCTTACATGAATCCTTGTGCATCTAGGATACATGCAACACCAGTTCAATAAAGAAGCAGCCCGGTTGCTAAACTCGCCCAAATGCCTCAAAACGAAAACGCAACCCAACTCAAACCTTCACTTCCCAAACGCGACCCACTCCACATCCATATTATGGTTTTCAATTTTATTTTTTCCAAAAAAAAAAACCGTTTTTACTTCTCAATAATTTTTCAAAAATAAAATTCTGCAATTAATTCCTTTGATTTTCTCTCTCCAAACTCCATTCTCTATCCTCTAAACGATTTTACTTCACTAAAAATTGAAAAATCAACAATGGATATACGAGAAGAAATGCAAAATCAAAAGGATTGTCCTGAAAAAGGTAAATTTTCTCTGATTTTTGTCCGAATTTATGTAAATTTTTATGAATATCACTAACTTTCTTCGTTAATTTTCGTCTGCATCTTTCGATACTCTGTTCGAATTTTTTGTTTCATAATCATATTAGGAAACTAATGCTTATATTCATATTTTGAATGATTATGTTCACTTTCTAAAATGCATATATTCATATTTTGTATGCCTATGTTCACTCTCTGAAAATCTAATGTTCACATTTAAGGGAACCTATATGTTCATATCTTGCATGATTATTTTCTTTTTTAGGAATTTATATATTCACATTTTATTTGAATATGTACATATTTTAATACTTATAATGCATATGTTTCATAATCATATTATTTTTTACTTCTTCAATTTTTATGTTCATAATTAAATGTCTTATATTCATAATAATATTTTACATGTTCATAGATAATTTCCAATACTCATGATATAAATATGTGTTGTGCATGAAATGTTCTCATCAAGTATGTTTATGCATATTTTCTCTTTTTAAAGTGCATATGTTCATATTTTTTTACGCATATGTTCACCTTTTAAATGCTTATTTTAATTTACTTTAAGGAAACCAATGCTTACGTTCATATATTGAATTGTTATGTTTACATTCTGAAATGCATATGTTCATATTTTTTATGCCTATGTTCACTTTCTGAAAAGCTAATGTTCACATTCAAAGGAACCTATGCATATGTTCATATTTTGCATGTTTATGTTCATTGATAAAATAAAATGCAGAAAATCAGATGAACTTCATACACAGATGAAATTGATCGAAGCTAACAAAATTCAACTCATATGAATTCAAAAACCAGATAAAACACAATCAATTCCAATGTATTAATGATCTCTTCGGAAAGAACAACCAAATACATATTGTAAGGAACAAATTCAATTGTAAAATTGAATATAAACGAGGAAAAAAAACAGAGGAAGGAGAAATTGAAGAAGGAAGGAGAAAAAACAGAGAAGAATTTGTCCAAAAAAACAACAGAGAAGAAAATATAGTAATGAAAATTTTAATGAAAAACTTTGATGAGAATTAGGAAAGAAAGGAGAAGAGAGAGAATTGGGAAAAAGGAAACCAAAAATTAGGCGGGAAGAAACGTTAGAAGAGGAACTCATAATATGAGTGGGCTGCGTTTCAAGGAGAAAACTTAGGTTATTTTTATATGTATGTATGTTTTTCAATAGTTGAAACTACGAAGTTATTTTTTCATGACTATTGAGGTGATTGAAGCTGTGAATACTGAAAACTTATAAGATAAAAAAAGAGTGAGGGTGGAATTTGGAAGAAGATGGACTTTTGTTAGGTATATACATGAATATTGTGAGATTTCATATCATATTAGTTTAAGTTATGTATTTTAAGTTTAAGAGATAAAAAGACTATTTTTATTATACTTCATATGTTTTTGTAATGTATACTAATTAATTCAACTTTATTTTATCATTGTGGAAATGAAACACTTCATTTTGTACAAGTTACGGAATACATAAAGACTTTAACATTATGTCATACATTTAATTTATTTTTTTAATATTAAAAAGGTAAGGAAAGTGACATATGGCATATGAGTGAGTTGTGAGGACATGTGGCATATGAGTAAGTTGTGAGGACACGTACGTGGCATAAGAATTATTGTGGTTTGTTTTTAAATACTAATACTAACTATAGACTATAGATAATTAGATATCATGCGTTTTGCACTGTTGCACCTATTCTATATGCATGAATATGCATGTAAGAATATGCGCTGTGAATGTCTCATTAATACTTCGTAGTTGGCCCTTCATAGTTAAGTCCTATTCTCTTAAATAAATATGATCCGTACAAAGTTTTAATCCATGGACAATGATAATTAAGTGGAAAATTTGTTAGAAAAAACCTTTTAAAAGCACCATAAGAAAAACCACCACGTTCATTTTTTTTTTTGCAAGAGGAAATCTATTTCCTTAATTACCCTTTAATTAACTAAATTAGACTCTAATTTCCTCTCAAATCTTCTAATTAACCTCTAATCCACCAAATTGCTAAATAATTAGATTTAATATATATGATAATAGTGGTTAGTTGGAGAGGAGCAAAAGGGATTCAAGGGTATTAGTAAAATCTGATAATGAATATTTCGAGGGGTTGAGAAATAATTGATTATGTTTAAATTTTTAGTAAGGAATTAAGGATGAGGTTGTAAACTTGACTATTTTCCATGCTAATAATTGCTACTGTATAAGGTAAAATAACAGTGTTGCAACTATTTCATGATCGCTAAAATTGAAAACCGATTGGGTTTTTCTAAGCTATACCCCTAGGGTATTTGAGTTTCTAAGGTGTACCCATGTTTTTTCAAGTTTCTAAGCTGTGCCCTTCAACTCCTAATCAATACTAAAATGTACCCTTATTAGTTGTTTAAAAGTTATTTGAGAGTGTGATTTCGTGGCTTCAGTTTCCATTATTAGGGTTGCGGTGGCTAAGATTTTCTTTCTCCTACCATTTCCTTACCTTTTATCACCTTTCTATTAAATTTATAGTTAACTTTAGGTGACGTGGAAGTCCCAAGGAGGGTACCATTCATTAATGGTAGTGAGTTGAGGGGCACAACTTAGAAACTTGAAAAAGCATGGGTACACCTTAGAAACTCGAATACCTTAGGGGTATAGCTTAGAAAAACCCAAACCGATTTTAACATAAACAAAAACGAATAAAGGATATCTCTCAAGGTCTCTAGAGTGATCATAGTTTACAATAATTTCGTTATAAAATGAGTAGTTTTCTTTCTGTTATCACTCCACCAATCTATTAAATGGGGCTATCTTTGGTTAAATTCATAATTATATGACAATACTTCAAGTAGTATACATGAAAAATATTTCCTAAGGGAGAGGGAAAAAAAAAGGTATGATGTGAATGTGGATTTTTGTAAGAAAATGATAATGAACAAAATTGTTTTTTTTAAAAAAAAATTGAGATCTAAAACCTAAGCTCTGATACCATGTTAGATTTCGAAAAAAACTCCTCAAGATTGGAGTGTGTACCATTGATTCAATATATAGAGTTTACAATCGCCAGACCTAATCACGCTAGGAAACCTAATCTGCGACAAATATTATCCTAAATATATTATCTATCAAAAATCTTCTTAATGCATGAGGTGTTGTGGAATCCCAGAAGCATTCCCAATTCAAAAATTCAAAAACTTCCTATCTATCACCTATACAGTACTCTGATAGAACAGAAGTTCTAAAAAACTAATTGTTTTCCTTTTCTCTTCTCTTGTATTTGTATTTGTATTTGTATATAAAGTTTAAACACATTATTTGTATTTAGGCTTTGTGGTTGTTCTGTTTGTCTCAAATTCATCCAGAAAAATCATTCAAACTTTTTTTTAAAAAAAGTTTAAACACATTATTTGTATGGTTTAGACATTACATGCCCTTGAAAGATCGTATGGATTCATCTGGGGCAGACAAGCTTAGTCAGATCTCGGTTTCAAATGCAACAAGGCGAAGACTGTCGGGATCTGGACCTTAAAGAAAAAACATTCCACTCTGATAGGATATAAATGGAGAAAACAATTTCTATCTTGTTTTTATATAATAAGGTTATGGGGATAACAAGAATCGACATTTAGGAAATAATATACGAAGTATAAGCTTTAATCCCCCTTCCCCTAGCGGGAAACTGTAACTACAAAATAAATTGTTGCAGGGGTTAAATTATTTTACTTTTATTATTTTGCATTTGTAACTAAGATTGATTTGGAATTTTGGAGTGTGTTTTTAATTAGTCCAGTAAGTAACATACATGGATCCTTTTTTCGCTACAAAATATCAGTTGGCAGTCTTAGAGCCCCAATTATGCTCTTAGAATGCAGACATTTCATTAAGAGGATTGAATTCAAACTCGCGAGAATTTAAAATGTTGGAGTAGCTTTGAAGATCAAATACAAAATCATCAGCAAAAAAAAATAGGTGATTGAACACCTCAGTTCTTTACTGAACTTATTAATCATGTACTAGCAAAAGCATCCTGAGACATTCATGCTGAAGAGAGATTATATTATCATAATCATAATGGCTACAATCATGCTCCTTGAACTTATGAATCATAAACGATTATAACAGAGAAAAGGCGTTGGTATAAATGTTTAAACATTTACTGCCCAAATACACATTTAACAATTAATGAGACAATTTTTTGCTTAGTCTCTCTTTATTTATTCAAATCATGCATTTTTTTAAAGTAAAAGTGTATACTAATAATCCCAACTATTTGGGATGTACTTGAGTCCCAAGTAATGCATATTTGTCCGCTTGGTTTTTTTAAACTCAACTCTTCTAATATCCTCACAACTTCACAAGTCCAAGTAAATATTGGAAATTTTAAATAAGAGATGTATAGGGATTGGACAATTTGTAGATACACAGATTTTACTAAAACTGAGTTTTTTTGTCAAGTTTAAATATCTAAAATTTATGGGCATTGACAGTTTTGACACATACCATAACTAGTCTCTGAAACTAGTAATCAGCAATAAGGCCTGGTGATATTATACAGTAAAACAGATTCAGTTCCCTAGCCTAATGAGTGATGAGACTATATAACGTCGGATTTAAACTAGGTGCTGAAAATGCACATCCAAAACGAATAACGTTAGATGTGTTCATGAATTATGTGCAAGGCAAAGTAACAAACGCATACAAAGTATAAACGACACATAATACCTCGACCAATGAGCAATAAATATAACAATTTCCCCAAAACTTGCAGAGGGATCACACAAAACCCTCCTTGACAATTCTGCAGATGATACATAAGAACACACCATTAACTCTTGCTAGTTTAAAATAAGTATATAAATTCAAAAGTGTGAAGATCTTATGATCCACAAATAAAACACCACAAATTCAATGAACAAGATATGGAAAATAATCCTAAAAATTGATCAGCCAAAAGTAGCTCAAGGCTTCAGATTATGCTGGATTGATTATTCCATCACTAAGGGTAGATGGTCCAGATTTAAAATGTTGTACATACAACAGAACTGCACAGCGCAGATTAATACTGTGTGCCTATGCAAATATACAGAAAAAGAGACAGGTCCTGCTCAGATTTGGCAGTGCTGGAAGTTTAATAAGATCACCTCAGTCAAAGACTCAAAGTTGCTTGAATGGTAACGTTCTTGGTACATGTTTGGCAGAGGCGGGAAGGCATTGCTTGTACGTTCATCACTTCCCCAATTAATCAGCTTACTTAGTCCCTTTTGAGTATGAATTTGAATTAGGGCCCATCCCTCGAGAAATTTGAGGCCTCGAGATACTAAAATCACAAGACAAGATCAAAGTATGTTCTTGGAAGTGTAACCAACATTGGTAGAGTCAACCTACCTGTTACTTCTTGGTTGCTGTACAGCTCCTTTTCGTATAGCTGCCCGGTTCTTCATCTCTGCACTGTTAGAGAAGCCACAGAAGAAAGCAAAATGTCAAACCGTCAGGGTCTTTGAGAAATGCCAAGTTAATAATTCCTGAAGTTTTTTGAAGTGGAGCATGCCAATTACCAATGAGGATATAGGGTAAGCAAATTTGACATTAGGATATTGAAACAATATAGTCATTTCTAAACAAGTTGATAAACTAAACTTGTCCAAACCATAAATAAACATATTGCTTAAAAGTTTGGTAATAGTGTAGTATTTAGATAGCTCTGCTCACATTCAGGTTAGAAATTATCACACAGATGCTGAATTCCTTCATAAGCTGTTTAATACTGAATCCAATAAATGAAAAACAAAAAATTCCATCCTGTTGAGATAGAGTTTGGGGAGGTGCACATGTATGTAGCTTTTCCCCTACTAGTCAGATACTACAAAAATGATACTATAATATTTTGGAGAGACCCACCGCCCAAGGAATCTTTTTTACAGAAGGCAAGTGTAGTTTTAAGAACTTTGACAAACAGCTCTATAAACTTCGTAGAAAGGACAACAGAAAGTCCATCATCATCACCAAAAATAATTGGCAAAACGTGAAATTGAAAAGTGAAATGCATTCAATTTTTTTAGATGAATACCTGTTAAAGTGTTCAGCTTTTGCCTTCTTCAGAATGCTGCTCTTTGCATTGGAATAGGCGCTTGATTCTCCAAATGCTACATGTAAGCATCATATCATATGGTAAGAGAATAAACAATAGTAGACTATAAGAGTTGCATGATCATTTTGGGCCCCACAAAAACAACAAAGATACCTCTGCAAAAAGTCCGTCTCTTAGACGAGGGGGGAACCTTTGAACAAAACTGGATTTGACGAGTTTGCTTTCCTACAGTAAGAAAAAAAAAAAAATAAATAAATTCAGAAAACCCATTTGAGCTAATACCTCCATATAGAATAAATAAACAAAATAAATAGCTTGAGTATTAGAGGAAACTTACGGGCACTTTCATTCTTTAATCTTTGTGCTAGTCGCTCTACTGATACATTTACAGCCTCATTTACTTCCTTCAATTTCGCCTGCAAGGAAAAGCCTTGTTTAAAACTGAACAATAAACAAGTACCATTCAAGCATTTAGATTGATTACACAAGACCACACTTAAAGCCTTTTCCAAAAGGGGTAAACCAAACATAGTAGCAAGTAATAGAACATAAAGCGTCTGCCTGATAAAGCACACCAGATAGTCAATTACCTGATACAGTTGTCTCCAATTAAATGTCACGTTATACTTTTTCATCCTCGCCTCTACCACTTTAACACTCTCAGCAAAAAATTTTGCCTCATAAAATTTCTTCCAAAGTTTATCAGTAATTGGACTAAGATCCCTCTCCTACATTAGTTCAAAACAATACTAGACTTAAGATAAAATAGAGTAAAGATATCAATGCACAGAGGCCAAAGAGATGGTTCAACTTACAGCTGTAGCATTTTCAATATGCATCAACTGCTCCACAGTACAATGGGGCAAGATGCGCTCTAGAAGATGTGAATCTAATGGAGCAATATTACCAATGTATCTAATGTTATCTATTGCTGTTTGAACACATAAATCAACCAGAGATGGAACTTCCACATTCCCAATTTTTTGTTTATCAGAAAAGTGAATATACCCCGATCTCATGTCTTCAAAGTCCTGCTGGACCCAAATAATTAGAAAACAAACAGTTAGAAAATCCTGAACAGAATCTCAGACACTAAAAAATTTAATCTTTTTCACACTACCTCAGTTACCTCTAAAACTTAAGAATATTTATGTTCCAGCTACTTTACTCCATTAATAACACTAGCACAGCAGAAGCATGAGGCAAAAGAATCATCCTTTCGATGAAGTTAGAGGGTGATAGAGAGCAAGTACCCCACAAGTGGGAACATAGATGGTCTGCTAACGTAAATGTTTTCGACATAGGGAGGGAGAGGGGAATATGCAGTAATAGGAAGAAAAGCCAGAACTGAGGAAGCATATCCATCATTAAGCACAAGACACAATCCAGAAGTCGAATTTTTAATTCAAATTCTAAGCCAGAATTTTGAGGATTGAGAGTTTGAGACAAATACTTGTATATACATCAACCACTAATCTGTTCTGCTTTATCATCTTTTCTTCCTCTGGGGAATAAGTCAGTAACAGAACGGAAGATCAGTAGCCAATATTCATTTTGAGCTTTTATTGCATACCACAAAAAATTTATCTTGACCCCATCCCACCATATCCATTTCATCCTAAAATTTAACAATTGTCTGATGGCTTTTCATCATAAAATAAGATGGTGGTTTATAGGGATCACATTTCTCTAGGTAAACTTAGAGAGCCATAAATTTATAAAAGAAGCTTCCAAATCGAGAAGAATGAAGAAAAAAGAGGATTGTGAAGGCAAAAAAAAGTTTGGAGGAAAAGAGTAGATCGAAGAGAGAGAGAGAGAACAGACGTGAAACTTCTTTACCAACGACGACCACCGATCTGATGCCAGAAACCACCAGTTAGTCTCACAGACATAATACCAACCACCACCAAAATCTGTCAATTTACTTCCCAATCGCGAACTAGGGTATCTAATAATTAGGGCCTTTCATATTGGGGTAATATCATTAACATTCAGGTAATAAATAAAGGGCTTTTGCTTGAATCTGTCAATTAAAAGACTAACAATTAAATTGAAGATTAGTTCACAATATTCTTCCTAATCTTCATGTAATCCTTTTTAGGATGTCTGTATCCTATTACTCAAAATGGAAGTTTTCTACACACAAACCACGTGTTGTAAAACCTTCCTAAGACAATTAAATTAATATGGAGGAGTGGAAACATCCTCAAAAGTTAAATCATTTCTTTCTAGCAAAAAACACCATTGCTTGCTAGCTAAGCACACCACAAGATCATCAATTTATCATCACTGCATTTCACCAAAGCAATACTGAATCCTCAAAAACCACTTCTAAGTGTACCCAATATCAGTGTATAAGTTTTAGACTAAAGCAAAAGAACAGGAATGAAATTCCATTAACATAGAGATCAAATACAACATTGTGTTGTAATGAAGCCTGGGATACATGCTCTAGCAAAAGGGCAAGACAAGCAATTGCTTTACAAAATTGCAACTTCACAGCACATCACATTAAGATTATGAAATTACATGGGCAACCATCAATCACACATGGGCTTTCTAGAAGACTATTTATGAATTGAAAGGAGTAGAACCATAATTTCTGATGGTAAATAGCCAACTTTTACAAAAGGTATTAAATATTATACCTCATTTTTTTTAGACCCACTCATTATAGTTACAGAAAACTTCAAAAAAAAAAAAAAAACAAAACAAAACAAAACAAAACAAAAATAGATAAGTAGATGTAAGAAAATGTAAGAGATAGAGCAAAAAGGTTGAAGGTGTAAGACAAAGTAAGAATGAGAGTGCAAAAAGGATGGTTAGGTTTAAGAAAGAGTGGTAAATGTAGTGAACAAAGGTGTAATATTGCAAAGAAAGGTAAGTTGGTAAAGATAGTGAGTAGGAAAAAAAAACTATAAAGTGAGTAGAACAAATAAATTAAAAACAAAATAATTATGACTACAATTAGGCTATGTTTAGTTCACCTTATTTTTATGATTACATTTAGTATATATATATATATATATATCAAATGAAGTCTTGTAGCATTAATGTGTATTTTCCAAATATATAATTTTCATAATATTTTTTCATTAAAGAATTTAATACTACGTATTTAACAGTAAAAAAATAACACATAAGCAATAAAGTATGATCTGAAATAAGTAATGAACAAAACATAATGTTAGCTAGCTAATTATGAGATCCAATTGCATATTTATATAAACGAATTACTATAATAATTAAACTCAACTTGTTTTTTTAACCTACTTAACATTTTTTTCATCAAAGGTAATTAGGTTTTTTACGTAACTTATTCACAAATACACAATCATATATGTAGCATTAAGATTACATTGTATGGTAGTTCTAGAGTAATTTACAAACCAGCTATATTAATAAGTAAATTTTAAAAAGCCGAACACGAGCAAATTACATAATAAAACGGAATCAAAAACAAAATATCCTTTCACAATATATTAATTACAAGCTTTAATATGGATAAATTGACACCATGAGTCCCAACTATGAACGGCTTTCTTTAAAATGTCCCAACTATTGATTAACTCGTAGGAACCTAACTTTTGAGAGGTCTTTCTCAATATAGTCCTTAACATATTATTAACCAATTAATAGAGCCATGTGTCTTGTTTTCGTTAAGCGTAATTAGAAAAAATCAATCCTCTACCACTCTAAACACTCACCCCTCTTGTTACACCATCTTCATGTTACTTTAAAAACAGACCACTAAAAACTCAACACGTGACAATTTCTACTTTACCCGATCATTGTAAGCTAGGGATTGTTCTAATAAGAACACCCCTAAAGTTGGGAATGTCATGAGTTGATCAATAGTTGGGACCATTTAAAGAAGAACGTCCATATTTGGGATTGGTAATGTCATTTTTTCCTTAATTATTCATCAAAAGAACAACACTTGTTAATGAAACAATATATAACTTACATGGATTAAAAATATGATCCATAATTAGAAAGTAATACTACTAAAACATTTAAAAAAGCATAGCATTTAACTCAACAACAATAACACTACCAATAATAATAAAGTATAATAATTCATTTGCAACTATTATAGCTTTGGAACCTAAAATTATAAATCAACAGCCGTGAAACTAAATTAAATATGATATAGTAAGACAAAATAAAGGTTGAATAACCAAAACCTCTTAATTCTTCTTTGTGAGATAGGACTGTAGCATATCTCACTTAACCTTCATTGATTCCAACTTTACTCGTCTTCAAATTAAACATTTTTTCCATCCAATTGGATTTGCTTTTCCCCTCTTTCATAGGTTCATGCCATAACCCCTCACATCGATACTGTTTTAAGAATCCCCCCCCAAATTTATAGCAATTTGTACTAGTGTTGATGACAACCCTCGATTGCCTCTTCATTGCAAAGCCTTAGCTTTCTTCACACCACTAGAAGAAGGTAGACCACCAAAAGTACCAATGGTTACTACGTTCACATCATCTTCATCCCTCTCCTTTTTTTCCACAACAACCACTTTGAAGCAATCCCAAAGTTCCTTTTCAATAGAAAATGCATCGTAATTTCCTAAACATTTTCGTGTACAATATTTTTTTAACGGGCAATAAAAAATATGATATGCAAAGTCCAAATTGTCACTTCATTCTCTTCATGGTAACAAACCCATTTGATAGTGTGCTTTTTCAAGAGGCAAAGGCTCTACTCCCCATGATGCATGATGCTTCTTCCAATTATGTTAATTCAAGAGGTGCCACTTTGATACCTGAGGTGCATGGGAGGAGTGTAAGACACACTGGAGATAAACACTTTGTTTGTAGCTAGGTATAAGAGCTTCACTCTCTCTCTTTTATTAGCTCTACTTAGATGATGCACATTTTGTTGTTAATATGGTGGTGGTGGTGGTGGTGGTATGGGCTTGTAGGGATAGTTGTAAGACAATATCAACTCCATTGCTAAAGCTTCATTGAGTAACAATTGACACGCTACTTTGTGAGGAAAAATCGTGATCTTGGAAATTTGGTTGAGGATTTGTTGTGAAGTGATTTGTTATGGAAGAATTTGTTGAAAATTATATAAATTCCCACTCATCATTCAAAGAAACCTATTTTTTCGTGTATGAGAGGTGAAAGAATAAAAATTTGTGAAATCTCTCTACCAATTGTGCCACCATATGTTTTAAAGCATCCCAAACAGACCTTGAAACAAATAAAGCTCGAACTCACTTGTGCCCCCCTTGACCTTGGTTGTCATGTCGCATCGATGCAAATACTGCTTGTCGCGAAAAGCCAAGAGTGCTCATCAAGCTTGGCGCTAGACTGTGTTGCTCCTTGTCTTGCTTGCGCCCTTGTTGCCAATAGACAAAAGCACACCACACGAATCGTTTAATGGGCTATGAGCCTATGATAGCTATAACCTTGATCATTTCCAAAAGAAGATAGTAAAGATCCATTCGAAAGATAATAAAATGAGAATAGAAACAAAATTAATGTCGGCCCATTAAAAAGTGGACAACATTTTTTGAAGTTGGCAAAGCTCATTCAGAGAGCGCCTTGATGCGCTTAACTTTAATCTCTATAAATCCATAGCGCGCATTTATGCACATAACGCATCCCAATCTTCAACTTCAAATTATCATGCTTAGCACACTATAACAAGTTTTAGAGCGTAGCATTCCTAAGCTACACCCAAAGACTTGTTTTAGTAGGCATTGATTAAAAACAAATTAATTAATTTATTGGTTTTCAAACTAAAAGACATTTAATACCAACTCATGATATAAATGATATAATGAGAAGACTTGATATAATGGGTGGAGTACCATGAAATGAATGAGTCCCACCAAATTATAAAACTCCTCCATGAATGGATCCACTTCATGAAGCAATTCTTTGGTTCAATATTAATAACGGATGAGAAGAGAGGATAAGTAAAGGAAAAGAAAGGAAAGAGAAAAAATTCTTATTCCAAATACAATTGGGTCAACAATACCATACGGGTCTTAAATCTTAATCATATTGGGTCTACCAATATAATATGAGTATTTTTCGTACCCTATATTCAAATAAAATTGCCCCCACATACTCATTTAGATAAAATATTGTAAAACTACCACTTTTATGTACTTTTCTCATCAAAACCCCATCATATACATACATACACCTCTCCTTTATCATTGCTCCCAAATAGAATGGGTCAAGGCTAATTGAGACAAAGAAAGAAGTTCACATTGCCCTCCTCCTTAGACATATCTCATTAGAAATGTAATACATCATAGTGTGAATGGGCAAAACATGCAATTTTGTAGTTGTTAAAGACTTAGTTTTAGGGACATATAAATACTTTGATAAATCTTAAGAATCCTATTCTATTCAAGGAGAAAGGCTGAGAAATGGAGTAACATTGCTCATTACAAAGAGATTAAGAAGTACTTCAACCTTAGCACAAGGAATTGTAAAGGAGACTTGACTTCCTGTAAAAAATGGCTTTTATTCTTGACTCACTTCATACTTTAATGAGTTTAAGCAATATTAATACTCTATCCGTTAAGAAAATGCTCAAGCTGATTTTCCACTCTACTTATCATGAGTTTCTTGAACTCTTTTAGAGAAAATTTACATACTTTTTAAGATATCATTCATGAATAACACTCTCGCACATAATCTTTTCCGATGATTTAACCTTAAGTTTCAGTCTAAAAACATGAAAAGAATTGGTTGGAAAAGCACGTTATAACTTTAGTCGGCATGGAAGTAGGCTACCAAATACAAAAGGGAGGAAAAAAGCATAAAGTTTTTAATAAAACTACAAATATTAAAAGGATTACTTTAGTTTGTAGGGGAGTAGGCTAACAAAATGGGTGAAAAAAATCATAATTTTTAAATAAAATAAGAATGTAAAAGGATAAAAGGTGAAACACATCACGCATTCCCATTTGAAAACTAAAGAGAGAGAGAGAGAGGGGGGGGGGAAATCGCGAAGAAAAATAGTTAAACAGAGTTTGAAACTTTACTATCCCACGTCAACTTACATGGATATGGATATGGATATGACATCAATAGCTAGGTTAAAGGCAACCTGGATTCTTTATAGAGGCTAGAAATTAGTCAATCATTAAGCTCACTACGAGATTTAGCATATACACGCATGAATATGGATATGCCACAAACAACTAGGCTCCTTGGGAGCTAGCATATGATTCAATGCTTAAATTTTAGTTTTGGTTTTGGAATTGAGGTTTTCAAGTGAACAAGGATATTAAACTAATTCAACCTGAGAAATGAAAAATAAGATGGAAGCAAGATGGTGGGAAATGCATGAACAGCAAGACATGACTCAAACAACAAAACAAGATCTCTAAGACAGAAAGGGAAAAAAAAAATGAAAGTTATCTAATAAAACAAGTTCCCTAATGAATTAAATTAAATGAGTTATCCTAATGACTATGAAGTATAAAAATGATCAGAACTTGTGTTTTAAAATAATAATTGAATCAACATTGCTCTGCTAATTGGTTACTAACACAAACATTATAATTAGACTAAATGGGAAAAAAAAACCATGAGTTGACTAGAGATTAGAAGCATAGAAATACCCATATAATGCAGTACCCAACGCCTGAATCTATGCGTCAGCTGTTCAGATAAGATCGACAACTGGGGCAATGTTGATTAAGTGCCATATATAATTTCAAAAAAATACACATGGAGAATGCTTCTAATGGAAGCTGAATGAACCGATTCATGAAACGAAGACGTAATATGGGAGGAAGACAAGATTCCCTCGTACAATTCAGAAAAAATGTAAACAATGCAGGTGAAGGCTTTCCAAGTAAAAGATTCAAAATTTACACCCATGTAATTATAAATCATGTAGCTTTTTCCACATTAAGAAAAAATGTGTAGGCATCAAGTCATCTTCTTTCGACAATTCAAGTACAAAATTACAAATCCAAATGCACCATCCTTCAATTGCATCATGAAGTACCCAATTCAAATAGAATTTTGCCCAATATTCCTCTGAACCAAATTGTGTTGATGTCTTAAACAAAGTTAACAATATCAACAAGCTTAAATTGGACTCATAAATGTTCTAGGCCTCTAGCATCTACTAAGGTCCAGGCATAGAGTAAAATGGCTTGTGATCACAAAAAACCAGGGAAACACAAAGATGCAAATTTGATTGAATCATCAAATTAGCACCCATCATTTATTTTCCTGATAACCACCCATCATTTATTTTCGATTACAGAATATCAACGTAAATTGGGGAAAAATTGTAGCAAAAAAAAAAAAAAGATTGATCATCATAAACTTTTGAAACTTCAGTAATTGTAACCAATTGTTCAATTATCAACCTTAACAACTGTTCAATTAACAACCTTAGAAGAACCCTAAGTTGATTATACTGACAATCAGAAAAACGATAAACCCTAGATTGGTGAGATTGATATTCGATGATCAATCAAAAAAGGAAAAAAAAAATATTAACACACACATTGTACCTGAGATGCTGCTTCAATGGAGGAGAGAAATCCCAGAAGCCGGTTGAATGTAGGATTCAGAGCACGCGCTACAATGGAGAATTTACCGGACGCGCTTCGATGGAGGAGAGAGAGGGTGCAATGTAAAAGAGAAAAACTTCAAAAGAAAAAAAAATAGAGAAAATATAGGAAGCCGATTAATGACACGTATACACAAGCAGTTATGTCAACCGTCAGATTTATAAATTCCTACTTTTTAAAAAGATGATTTATGATTTTATTTTTTTTATTGACGAGATGATTTATGATTAGTGACCCGTTATATATTCACCTTAAAAAAATAGGGAAATTCTCATTGGTACACCCGTAGTTTTGACTTTTTCCATTGATACACTCTAAAGTTTTTGTCTTCCCATCGGTACACCCATGGTTTAGTCTTTTTCCCAATCGTGACTAACACCGTTAAAAAGTATTTCATTAAGTTAAAATAATTAAGGAAAAGATTATAATACTTCTTTTAAATATCTTATGTCTCGATTTGCGTGTCGAAAATTGTTCGATTAAATTTTTGGGAGTCCTAGTCGTTAAAGATCCAAATTAACCTCGAAATTAACAAAAAAAAATAACCACAAATGTCTCAAATGCGTGTCAAAAAATGTCTCGATTTGCGTGTCATTATTTTTTTTTGTGATAATAATTGTTCGCTTAAAGTTTTAGGAGTCATTTTGATCCTCTACGGATCTAAATCGAACTCGAAATTGTCAAAAAAATTAACAAAAATATCTCATTTTGCACGTCATGATATTTCTTTTTTGTTTTGTCATGACACGCAAAACGAGACATTTTCGTTATTTTTTTTACAATTTCGAGTTCGATTTAGGCCCTTAAGGGCTCAAAATGACCCCTAAAACATTAACCGAACAATTACTATCACAAAAAAGTAATGGCATGCAAACCGAGATATTTTTGACACGCACATGAGACATTTGCGCTATTTTTTTTTGCTAATTTCGAGGTTTAGATCTTTAAAGACTAACATGACTTCCAAAACTTTAACCGAATAATTTTCGACACGCAAATCGAGACATTAGATATTTAAAAGGGTTATTATAGTCTTTTCCTTAATTATTTTAACTTAATGAAATACTTTTTAACGGTGTTAGTCACGGTTGGGAAAAAGACTAAACCTTGGGTGTACCGACGGGAAGGCAAAATTTTTGGAGTGTATCAATGGGAAAAGTCAAAACCACGGGTGTACCAATGGGAATTTCCCAAAAAAATAAGAGCAAGATTAGCCCTGTTTGTCAAATCAAATTTTATATTAAATTTAGCTAAATGAAGTTCGTGAGATGCACAATTTGTTTGAATTTTTAAAAATATATTTTTTTTATGTAAGTGGTAAAATATATTACATATTTCAATCAAATTCATAATATTAAAAGATAATATTTTATATTTAATTAATTTAAACTTAAAAATCTCATTTGACAATTTTGCTTACATGGCATTTGAATTTTTTTTTTTTTATAAAAATAAGGGATATCACTAGTACCCTCAAATATTTGACTTTTATCAATGGTGCACCTCATTAAGTTTTCATTATCAGCGGTGCCCCTAACATTTTCACCTAATTGCTACAGTGATCATTAGGTCATTAAAACGTTTAGTAAACGTTAAGTTGGGGTTTTTGGCTGGTTTAATGGGTTTGGGAGATGTAAATACTGAAATGCCTCTATCCCAAAAACTCCCTCCAAAATTCTGTTTCTTTTTCCCTCCCTTTTTTTCGATTTTTCCCTCTTTCCTCTGTCTCCTATTTAAACTCTCTGCTTCTTTAGAATTCCCCTCTTCTATTCTCTTCATTCCTCTTTTGAACGCATACACTTCAATGGCTTCTTCTGGCAGGGATGCATCTTCAAGGAGCATAAGTTGTGAAGGTTCATTGTTCAGAGGCATGAACTGCAATTGCCAACCACCAAGATATGCAGACATTAGGTTTTCGAACTCAATATCGAATCCTAGAAGACCCTATTATAAGTGTAGGCTCTGTGAGTTCTTTATGTGGGTAAGGGAAGACCAAATTGTAAGGGACATTGGAGGGAGGCAAGGAGATGCAACATCTTTACATGCATTAAGGGTTGAATTTGCAGAGTTTATGCACAAGACTGATGAATTTGCTGATTTTATGTACATTGTGGTGAAATTAGTTGTGGTTATGTATTTGGTATTGCTTTTAATTACTTTGAAATAGATGAACTTAGTTATTGTCGTGTAATTGTTAAACTCTAATGTACTTGGTGTTTAATTTTGGAATAAAGACATGGGGTTATTTGTTTATTTGTGTATATTACATCAAATTATTTGCATAGTTAACAGCAGCAAATTGCAAGAATGAAACAAATACATTACAAATGCGTACTTTGCAAAAAAAAAAAAAAAAAAAAAAAAAAAAAAAAAAAACTTAATCATAAGTAATTGATGCCAAATAAGAAAGGTCAAACATTTGCACAAAACTTGCTCCAAAAAACAACTTAATCATAGTTTTAAGTTGATGGCTAATAAGTAAGATCAACATAATTGTTCCCATCCAAAAACAACTTAATCATAGCTTTAACAGAATTGTTCCCATCCAAAAAGTAATTAGTTCCCTAAGATTGTCACTATGCCTAAAACTAGCAGAACAAGACAGTTTAGGCTAGCATGCTTCATGGCTGTGATTGAGACAAGTCTTGAGGTTGGCTGGACATTTGAGATGTTCAGATCTCTGTTGCAGCTCCAGCAGCTCTGGACTGAGCAGCAGCCTCCTTGGCAGCCTTCAATATGCACACTATTGGGAGCAGGAAGACCATCTTGCACAGTACTATGAGGCTCAGCTTCAGTATGCACAGCATTACTAGCCTGATTAGTGCATTTCAACCTTAGTTTCCTCCTAGGCTTCAGCTTGGCTCTCTCACTATGAACCTGATACTGAACTTTATAATTGGGTGAGGCTGGTTCGGTTGTAGCAAGCTATGATTGGGGTTCATTTTTAAGAGGGGGTGGTACATCACCTAGTTCAGCAAGTATTGTGGCAGTCTCACCATTTATCTCATACACTGTAGCTCTAGGTACATAGTTTGGGTCATTTATACCAAATAATTCACTAAATAAAATCGAAGTTGAGTACTGTAGACACCCATTTATGTCTCCCCCAAACCAAACCCGGTGATGAGTACCTTTCGCGTCGAATCATAATCGAATGAAGTGAAAGTGTGGAAAGTTTAGTGTTGCGGATAGTTTTAATTTCTTTTCTCTTCTCTCTATTTTTGAAAACTTATTTTAAGAAAACAGTCAATCCAGTTTGGTTGGTCCATGATATGGGTCCAATAGTAGTGTAGTTGGATGGGGCTTGACAAGAGCTTTCCAACGATATATTATAAGCCCAATTCCGATGAATATTGAGGAAGTTATGGCCAATTTACTAAACTGGGCCCGGTTTGAGCTTTATATGCGGCCCAATGATCTAGGGGAGGGCCTAATATGATTTATCATTCCTAACGCAATTAGGAATGGTTTTAGTCTTCTAGATTCTTCTAGAAGGTTCTTTTCATTCCTAATTCAATTAGCATTGATAAATTGACTTTTGTTGACTTTTCAGAGTTTTAATTAAAATCAAAGAGCATTTTTGAGGGAAATACGATTTTATCCTCCTGTACGTCAATTTTTATCTGATTTTAAGAAAACGCGTGAATTTCAAGGTCAGCGCCAAACACCAGCTGTAGCGCCTAGCGCTGCGCTTGCCTTGGCGCCTGGCGCCAGGGTTAGCGTTTGGCGCCAACAGCCAGCGTTGGCGCCAACCTTGTTTCATGTGCGCCAGACTCTATTTTGATATTTTTATCTTTTTGGCTGATTTTATCTATAAATAACGTCGTAAAAACTCCGTTTTCATTTCACCTACAACCAGTTTTCATCTATGATCATTCACCAACTCTCATCGAGATTCTTTTGATTACTCTCTCTTTCTCTCTCTTTCTAAACTAGCTTTTACATACAAAATTCCGCATTCATTTGATCTAGAAACACCTAGCCATATTCGAAGTTGCCTTCGCCCTAGACGTGAAAGAAAGAGGTACGAGGCATCAAAGTAAGTAATTTAATGGTTTAATTGTTATTATGATGTAGAGTTCATGCTTAGGTCGTTATTTTAATTCCTAGTATCATGTCTAGGGTAACTTTAATATCAAGTATGATCGTTATGATGCCTTATATGTTCTTCCTAATATTTATGATTGTTAGTATCATGTTAGGGTTAAAGCTTTGATTTTTATGCTTAGTGACATTCTAGGGTTTGTTATTAATCTTGTTAGTATCATGCCTAGGATCTTGCTATTTTTATTATGCTTTAACATGAACATGTTTATTTCTATGATTATAATTAATTATGATGATTATAATTTTATGATTGTTACAATTATTATTATAATATTTATTATAATTGTTATTATGATTATGATTATTATTATGTTGCTTGATGATTATTTATTGCTTGATCACACCTTTTATGCATGTTTAAAGGGAATTGGTACTTGTAATCACGCTTAATAAGATAATTAATAATCTTGTTAGAGTTAATTTTGATTATAATTCGAGTGATCGCCAATAATAGTTTATTTGTGCATTAAATTCAACCAACATAGATAAACAGGTTTAGGGTTAATCCTATTGATTGTATGTTAGTCAGAAAGCACACATGAATACGATCAGAATGAAGTAGAGGCCTATTATTAGGGCAGGTTCAATCTCTTTTAGGTTGGATTTGTACCTTCATCCCTGAACCCTTATTCAGTTCAAGACCTTATGGAGTTAACGATCTCTTGGATCGTTAAGGGGTGTAACCTTCACCCTGTGAACGGTTTACAAGTTCCTAAAACTTGTTGGCGACTCTTTTGCTCTATCTTCTTTCCCTTTGGACGCCACCGTACTTTAGTGTATGATCACAGTGGGGTTCAAGCTAGGGGATTAACGCTTGAAATTATTCCCTACAAGTACTAACCTTAATCCGCAATTTGTCAAAGCAATTCTCCACAATTTCTGCTTCAATTAGGGTTTCTATCGAGCTTCGAAACAGGGGAGTGGGCAAAGAAGTTGAACGATCAAATTTTTTTGGCTTTTTTTTGTGATAAATGAAAGGGAAATTATCACTGGTACACTCGAGGTTTTGGCTTTTATATTTGGTACACCTCCTTAAATTTTGATTATCAGCGGTACACTCATAATTAGCAACTAATTACTACAGTAACTAAAACGTTAGTTAAGGGATCTAAGGTCATTTTAAGTCGAA